GTGTTGGCGTCAATACTGTAAAACACTACCTCAAAAGGCTGTGGCTGGTTTCCATAGCAACCACTTTGAGCAAAATTCTAGAAATTTAATTGATCTTTCACCATATTTAAACAAACTTTTTGGTCCATTTGAGGGTATCATACCACCTTAATGGGGCTACACCTCAGACGAACCATCTTGAAAACAGGTTTGTTCATGATAAGTCCATCCTAGATTGATTAAGAGCTGTGGTAGCCATCCTTTCTTATTCTTAGTTTATTATTATAATGGAGCTCCAGCAGCCCGAAGGGCCTCCAAGCGGAGCCCCATACTCATATAGGAAAGAAAAGGAAATGCATGAATTGATTTTCTTGTGATTATCAAAGCTAGCGGTATTGCTCGTGGATGTGTACGCACNACGGCGACCACAACAGAGCCGCACCAGATGGCAATTATACACCAGCTAACTGGTTGACAGAGACATGCAACCTTGGTTTATAGCGTCCTTCTTTGAAAACCTCACCGCAAAGTTACAAAAATCCAATCAAAATATGCTTGCTTATCCTGGGCTAGCTTAATTGGACTCTGAACAACCTGGCTCAGGAGCTCTGCTTTTAGGCTTGGCTAAATCTACATATTAAGTATTTTTTCTACAAGCCAAGTGGTCCATCAGGCTAGCGCTTATCTCAGGTTTCTGCAGCATGAAGGGATTAAGAGTATTCCTACTACTCTCCCCTGATGGGAAGCTAGTCCATGGCAGGGTTTTCCTCCAGCATTAAATTTGCCAGTACTCATTTATACACCTGGCTGGAGAGAGGCACTGTGAGAGTAAAGTGTCTTTTGCCTAAGTACATAACACAATGTCCCTGGTCAGTTCTCAAACCCAAACTGCTCGATCCAGAGTTGAACGCACTAACCATGAGGCCACCACATACACCTCCCTTTTCTACCTTAATAACTATTGGTAATGGTAATAGGACTGAGTTGGAGTCCAATTCGATCTGTAATCATACAAGTGATTAACAAAATCAGACGACTGCGAAGTGGGAGTCAGATTTGTTAATCACGAGCATGATAACAGACTGAATTGGACGACACAATGTCCTGTTACCAATTAATCAAAACTATGACAAAAT